CCGCCCGATCTGTTCTGTCCCAGGCTCCAGATTCAGCTGCTGTTGAAACTGATCAGCGGCTGATTCCAGGAAGCTGGGGGCATAGCAACTCTGCCTCGGGCTTCCTGTAGTCAGCCTCTGGTCAGTTTCAGCAGCAGCGGCTGAATCTGGAGCCAGTTCCGACTTACGTATAAATTCAACTTAAGAACAAACCTATAGTCCCTATCTTGTATGTAACCCGGGGACTGCCTGTACTGGCTTTTCTGGATGGACGTCTGGTCTGACCCAGTATAGCTGTTCTTATGTTCTAACTTAACGGGAGTTCAAAACTTGTTATTGGAAGGTCATTAGCCTCTAGAGAAGGGGCGAAGAACCTTTTTGGGGTGGGGAGGGTCATTGACCCACAGAAAAATCAGCTGGGGGTTGCACACAAATGAGAAGCAAACGAACAAAACAACCCTCACTGACATGGCTCCCGGCTGAGAAGGAGAAAGACATCCCCCCACATACCCCTCACACACCAGACCATAGGAGGGCCCAGTCTAGTAGATTTTGTGTGTCCAGCCCCAGGGTGGGGCAGTGGTGGGACTAGAGCACCAGTGTGGGTTCCCCAATGCTGAGGGAGGCCCTGAGCCTTGGGGGCCAGATCCAAGCAAGCCGGGAGTCACATTCCGCCCCAGGCCTTAGGTTCTCCACTCCTGCTGTAGAGTCTCCAAGCACTCATAAGTAGTGATTAAATAAAAATGGTTGGTAGTATGAGGTTACTATAAAGGATATCTGACTAGAAAAATAATATATAAAGATCATGTTATTTTCAAACTATTTTTTATAGTTGGCCAAATGAAAGACTAACTTATTAGAATGACCTGTAAACATTTTTTCTAGAAATGTAAACAAAGTACTTAATCTCAAATGCTCATGGTGCATAAACATTCATATAAGAGACAATCACTCTTAAATGTTCTGAATATCATTAGGATAAAATACTTTCAAAATAATGGGAATGGGAAGGAGGTGGAAGAGATGTCAAACAAGTTTTAGCCTTAGGCCGTAAATAGCACATGGAGAAGAATATGCAGATATTAACCCTGCCATCCAGGAATTCAAAACTGCCTCAAGTCCCATACCACGGACTAAAATACATCCTTAATTTTACCTGTGTGATGGCAATAGAGCTACACAGGTGTAATAGTAGAGGACAAAATTTAGTTTTAAGAGAGCATAAATACAACTATAAGCATTCACTAATGTATAATGCAAACATAGAAACCAAGGAAAAATATAGCAAATGATTTCTAAATAACTAGAAATAAGCCATAAAAAAAGTTTTACACTGAGCATTTCAAGGTTTTTAATTCACAAAACTGTTTCTTTCACTATGTGTTTAGACCCAGAGCAGTTTTATTTCAAAACAGAGATGTGACTTTTGTGAAAACATCTTATACAGTACTTACTTAAAGTTCCACACCCATTTCACATTTTAAGAGTGTAAGATGTGCATGAGCCTAATCAAAGTGGAAAATTAAAGAAAAATCTGACCTTTTTATAATAGAATAGCATAATAACCAGCTTTAAAAAGGTACTTTCCAATCAAGATCACAGTCCCATAAACAATCCTGTACACACTTAACTTTTATGCATTCAAACACTTCTGTTTACACATTACTGTGTTATATCTTTCCTTGAAACATCTATCAGTAATATCTTACGGTTCATTATGTGTCAAAAATATCCTCTTTATAAAAATTGTATACACATCATTCAAACTGGTTGATCTATTTTTTAGTAGTAACTTACCAGCTCCACAATGCTATTGTTGGTAAGAATGATCTCCTGAAGGTTGGGTAAAGCCTGTTCGAGTCCCTCACCAATCCGACTAAAATTAATATTTAAAAATAATCAAAGTCTGATTTATGTTGGTAATAAATGTTAATAAAAACCTGCAGACACATATTAACCCTCAAATGCAATACATGTACAAGGGGTCACTTGGTTTGGGAATCATTCACCCTGCATCAAGTAAAACAGTTTAAATCTTTATTTTGTTGCTGTAATTACCTCTGACTTGTACCCTCACTTACCACTGTCCCAAACTTCCTGATCATGTTTACATTTTTCACTGATCTGAATGTAGGAATGATAAACAAAAAACTACTGAATCTCGGCAGACTTGACCAAATCACAAAGCCCAAGCCTTGGTTTTCCTGTCCATAAAATGAGGATAATATTTATTGACGTTATCCAGGATTTAAAAGGATTGGTGCTCATAAAGCACACTGAAAATGAAGCAAACTACAATGGTTCTCCATAACTGTAACATGCTGCATTCTTCCATTATAACAAATCAATGATCATATGCAGAGCTCGACAATTACGGCAATCTACTCGCCCATGGCGAGTAGATTTTAGCCTGGCACGGCACTGCAGCACAATCAGCGCATGTGTAGCACGGTCTGCGCATGCACAGTGCGCCAAACAGGGGCTCGCTGCCACTTGTCAAGCCCTGATCGTATGTAAGTTGCAGAACTGCAATGATACAAGCAAACCGCCAATGCTGAAAGCTTCCACGTGCCACCTACCATATCCTGTTGTTATTCATCAGTAACGTTTTCAGCCTCTTCAGCAGAGGGAACCCATCCAACTTGCGGATCTCATTGTCGGAGAAATCAATGGCATCGAATTGGTCCAAGGTGGCACCCAGGTTCTCAATGACGGGGATTTTGTACCCTGCGGGGAAAGCGTCAGACCAAGGTTAAATAGAGTCGGGGGGGAGGAAAGGGGGCATTGGGGTGGAGTTGGGCCAGTCAACAAGGGATGCCGGATTCCCAGGTTAGAAGCAGCATGTGACATCACTGTCTCCCTCATGAATCCAGAGTGAAGCCTCCCTACTTCCCCCACTCTTCCACCCCAGCACAAGCTAGGGATGTCAGCAACTAGCTGAGTATCCAATAAGCAAAAAGCTTATCAGGTAGTCAAGTAGTGATTAGGGATGTTAAATTTAGATTAATTAATTAATTGAATAGTTTATGGGATTTCCATCTACTATTTGATTAGTTTATAAGGGTGCCTTTGCCTTTGAACTGAAGCAAGAGTCCAGTTCAAAAGCGGAAGCCCACCAGGGAGCGCTGGACCAGAGCACTCACCCGCTGGCCCCGCACACACTGCAGCATCTGAGCCATTTCAAAAACAGAATTGCAGCAGAAGTGGTGTGAGCGGAGACTCTACCGTTTCCCGCTGTGCCTCTACCTCACCTGCCCCCCACCCCCTGCAGAGAATGGTGCTGAGGCGAACTGGCTTCAATTCCCCCCCACTTGCTGCCTCTAGGAGAGGCAGTGGGGGGGGGAGCAGAAAGTAGGAGCTGGTGTTGGGGGGAGCTGGCTTAAAAGCTGGTTCCCCACAGCACCATCTCTGGGGGGCAGAAACACGGTGGGGAAACAGCACGAGTAGGGACTGAAGCAGTCGCACTCACCCTGGCTCCCACTGCGGCACTTCAGCCTGTGAAATGTAGCAAGAGCCCCATAGCGCCGCAGTGGGAACACAGGGCGAGTGGGGACTGCCTGAGTCCCTACGCACCCAGTGCACCCTGCTGTGTTGTGCCCCGCCTCCCTCCACCCCACCCCACAGCCTCTATGAGAACCAGGGCCGTTCACCTCCAACAGAGGCTGCTGGATTCAGCACCAGGCAGGCCCGAGCAGTCCCAACTTGTGCTGGTCCGATACTGCGCCTCTGCATTTTAAATGGAGCAACAGCCCAGCAGCTCTTGCCACATTTAACACGCAGAGTTGCAGCACAGGTGGCTCCTGGAGCTGGCACGAGCCAGGTCTACTCCGTCTCAGCTGCAGCCGGCTCCCGGTGTGATCCCTGCTGCGGCTCTGCACAGCCGCCCTATCGACTAATTGTATCGACTAGGCCAGTGGTTCCCAAACTTTTTGGCATCACGCCCCCCTTTTTGCTTTTTGAAAAATCCTCACGCACCCCCTCCAAATAGCAGTCAAACTTGTTGAGGGGGGAAAAAAACTGAACAGGGCAGCAAAACTTGACTGGCGGGGGCGGCTGGGTCACTTCGCACGGCCCCCAGGAATTTCTGCACACACCCCCAGTTTGGGAACCCATGGACTAGGCCATTAGCCAGGTACCCACGATGTAAAATCCTCAGCACAAAACCCGCCC